TGAATGCTTCCACAGAGGTGAACCACACAGCTGGGGAACAGTAGAGAAACTTTTTTACTTTACGCTCCCTTTATACAAAATTTTGTCTTTCATACAAGTATTACCTGCTATAAAAACAAGTCAAATTAAAATTAAAAAATCACTAATAATTCAACCACCAATACTATTCTGGTGCTTCTCCTCTCATGCAGTTTAGTTTTTTGTTTGCTTGTTTTTTAAGATTTTATGTATGTATTTGACAGAGAGAGACTGAGAGTGAAAGCACAAGCAGGGGGAACTGCAGAAGGAGAAGGAGAAGCAGTCTTCCCACTGAGTAGGAAGCTGGATGCAGGGTTCAATCCGAGGATGCTGGGATCATGACCTGAGCTAAAGGCAGATGCTTAACCAACTGAGCCACCCAGGTGCCCCACCATGCAGTTTAGTTTTATAGGCTGCATTTTGTCATTAACATGGTTTTCCTACATATTAGAAAGTTTTTTTGAAAATGATTTAAATGACAATACTATTTTATCATAAGAATATTTTTATTTTTGCTATATCAGAAAATACTTTTTTTTAAAAGATTTTATTTATTTGACAGAGAGAGAGAGAGGTCACAAGTAGGCCGAGAGGCAGGCAGAGAGGGGGAAGCAGGCTCCCGGCTGAGCAGAGAAGCCCGCATGGGGCTCAATCCCAGGACCCTGAGATCATGACCTGAGTCAAAGGCAAAGGCTAAACCCACTGAGCCACTCAGGGGCCCATCAGAAAATACTTTAATAGACGTATATGTTTGTACAAAATTGATTATTTCCTCTAGATAAGTTTATTATTGGGTCAAAAATATGATTATATTCATATTCAAATATATGATAGAGGCCCTTTCATATAATGTGACTGGGAGTGGTAATTTTTTTTATTATCAGTCAAAAAATCATTTAAAATTGAAGATTCATTTAAAACAGAGATGTACACATGTACCTTAAAATAATGCATATGCATCATCTATGATTTCTACATTGGATTTCTTAAGTGGCCAAGAACTAATGCCACTCACAAAGCACTATCAGTACAAAAATTTTTTTTTTTAAAGATTTTATTTATTTGACAGAGAGAAAGATCACAAGTAGGAAGAGAAGCAGACAGAAAGAGGTGGGGGGAAGCATGCTCCCTGCTGAGCAGGCCCGATGTGGGGCTCGATCCAAGACCCTGGAATCATGACCTGAGCCAAAGGCAGAGGCTTAACCCACTGAGCCACCCAGGTGCCCCAGTACAAAATTCTAAATGACTATGGTTTTACTTCACATATCTTTAGCTTTGTAAGCTACACCTAAGTTGATACGAAGTTTTTGAGTCACACTTCCCTTCATCTAGTCTACCTAAACCATTCCAATTAGTTTTCATAGAAACAATTTTTTTTTTTTTAAGATTTTATGTATTTGACAGAGAGAGCAAGAGTATAAGCATGGGGAGTAGCACAGGGAGATGTAGGCTACCCAATGAGCAGGGAGCCTGATAAATATGAGTTTTGACCCCAGAACTCTGGGACCATGACCTGAGCTGAAGGCAGACACTTAACCAACCCCAAAACAATGCTTTTAAACTTCTATTTTAAACTGCTGCATTTACTGAACTAGGTAACTATGTAAGCCTGGCAAATGGGCAGATGGACAGCTGCCCTCCAATCCACACTCCTGCAGACCGAGGTGGGCAATGACCACTATCGGCACCCTTGATAACAGAAAATTCTGTATTATGAATTTTTACCCCAGAGAATTTGACAGACAATAAATAAGATTATGTTTTAGTTTGCATCTGGAAGAAGTAATATGAAGTTGTACTTTTCTTAGGTGATTAAACTGAAAGGACGAAGCCGTATGTTGTAACCAGGTGACACAAGTCCTAGAGTCAGATTCCCTGGGTTTGAGTCCCACTTTAACTGTTTAATAGTTATGTGACTAAAGGCAAATTACTTAACCTATTTCCATTTGTGAGGATTAAATAAAATAATCCATTTGCCACAATGTCTGGCACATGTTTAATCACTCTGTAAATGTTGGCTATCATTAAGTTACACATAAATATCACTGATGAAGCAGAAGGTGCAGAAAAGTATGTTACAACTTATGTAAAAACAAAATGTGTATGGGGGTGACTGCTGGTATATTCACTGAATATCTCTGAAAGGTTAAACAAGAAGAGAGGGTATGGCTTGGGGATGAGATAAGAGGGAGACTTTTCCCTTTTGGACTTCTTGAATTTTGTATCAAACGCAAGTATTATCTTTTAACTAAACTAAATGTAGTGATAGTAGGGTGCCTGGCTGGCTCAGTTGGTAGAGTGTGATTCTTGATCCTGAGGTTGTGAGTTCAAGCCCCAAGTTGAGTGTAGACATTACTTTAAAAGAAAATCTTTCCCCCTCCCCACCCCCATAACAGACTCTTAACTACAGAGAACAAGCTAAGGGTTACTGGAGAGGAGGTGGGTGGGGGAATGGGTTAAATGAGTGATGGGTATTAAGGAAGACACTTGTGATGAGCACTGAGTGTTGTATATAAGTGATGAATCACTAAATTCTACACCTGAAACTAATATTAAATTGTATGTTAACTGGAAGTCAAATAAAAATGATAAAAATATTTTTTAAAAAGTTATAAAATGTCTTCATAGTATAATATACTTCTCTTCTTAAATGGCCACACACCTGAATCTTTAGGAAGACTTAGGGCTTCTAAAGCCAAGTAGATGATTTTCTTATCATGTTTTGCTGAATATCTTATTCTCTCTGTTAAAATATTACAGTATTTTTCTGGAAACATTTATAGGGAGGAAAAATACTCTAAGCCTTTCTTACAGTCTTCTTAAACTTAGAAATGTACATAAATATATACATATATAAGACAACATTACCTTAAGGATCCCTTCTGACCCCCTGTTCAGCTACTAAAGGTACTTCTGATGCTTTCAAGATAGATAAGACACTATGTATGAAAGGATATTCCAATAAGATATACAATTCCAAAAAAGACAAGCTAATTAAACTAATTTTAATGTGCTCTCTTCATGATTTAGACTAAGGTTATCAATCTATAATACTTGTGCCTAATTTTGAAGTTGGTGGGGGGGGGGGCGACAACAAAGGGGAGTATACCCTAACACCTTAAAAGAAAGGGTAGACTACCCTTTGAGAATTAAATCAAAAGAAGATGATGCTAGGGTCCTTTTATAACAAGTTTTTAATCCTTCTTACATTCCAGCACTTGCAAGGATTACCACATATCCCTATCCATTACAGTGGTTTGTTACCACCATGTCCCCTGGGCTGAAATCAGAATTTATGTTGAAAATGCCCTCTTCTCTTAAGGAACATCCTTTTCCAACATATGAATCACACACTGCCTTAATGAGGTATAATGAAACCCGGTCTAAAACTTAACTGTAACCAAATCAAACATATTGACCTCATTTTTTAAAAAAAAAAAATGCCCCTCTCAATGTTTCCCCTCAACTCTGAACTCGTATCACCAACTGCCTGTGAGTAGCTCCATGTGTATGTCAGTTCCACAGTCAATAATTCTTGAACTTAACATACTGAAAAGAGAAACCTTAATATCCACCCTCTCAAATCTGATCTTTTCAACTGTTCCTAATTCAGTAAATAGAACCACCATCCTCCCAGCTGCTGAAAGCACCAAAGGATTCATTCTTATTTTCTCTTTTCATAAATTCCCTATCTCCAATCCACTGATTCTGCCTTTTTAATGTATTCCCAAACTATTCATTTCTCTCCATTTCTGTTACCACCATCCTAGACCAAACTACCATCATTTCTCTTTTGGACTATATTGGTTTCCTCCTAAATCCTCTAGCCACACTGGACTTCTATCCTTCAACATGCCAAGTTCATTTCCATTTTGTGGCCAAACCATTCCTTCTGCTTAAACATTCCCCCTATATACTCCCAGGGCTTCTAGCTCTCAGCTCAGATGTTACCCACCCAAGAACAGTTCCCTGATCACCCAATCAAGAATAACCCCAGGGCGCCTGGGTGGCTCAGTGGATTAAGCCGCTGCCTTCGGCTCAGGTCATGATCTCAGGGTCCTGGGATCGAGTCCCGCATTGGGCTCTCTGCTCGGCAGGGAGCCTGCTTCCCTCTCTCTCTCTCTGCCTGCCTCTCTGTCTGCTTGTGATCTCTGTCTGTCAAATAAATAAATAAAATCTTAAAAAAAAAAAAAAAAGAATAACCCCAACTTTACTTCCATTCTCTATACCAGTACCTTGTATTTTTCCCCCCTACAATAGCAATGATCAGTATCTGAAATTAGCTTGCTTATTTGCTAACTGTTCATATCCTCCCATAGACTGTGAGCTCCACTGACAGCAGAAATCATGTTCACTGCATCTAAAAAAGTGCTTGGCACATAACGATGCTTAATAAACAGCTGATGAATGAAGGAACCTATCTAAAGAAAGACAAAGTCAACCCTGAAAGATAATGGTCAGCTGGGAGTGAGGAGTCACAAAATGGTTAAAAATGTCAGTGGGACGCCTTGGTGGCTCAATGGGTTAAAGCCTCTGCCTTCGGCTGGGGTCATGGTCCCAGGGGTCCTGGGATCAAGCCCCACCTCTGGCGTTCTGCTCAGCAGGGAGCCTGCTTCCCTTCCTCTCTCTGCCTGCCTCTCTGCCTACTTGTGATCTCTGTCAAATAAACAAATAAAATATTTTTTAAAAATGTCAATGGGAGAGTATCTAACTGTGGTAAAATTAAAACTGTGCCATATTTCAATTCTCCTTTCACATATATGGTAAGTTTATACTTGCCCATCATCTTGAAGTTAGGTATGGTCATATGACTTGCTCTTGCCACTGAAATATAAACAGAAGCCTTTGAGAGCCACTTTGTGTGATTCACTACTATCACCATCCCTCTATTGTGGCAACTAGCAACAGGACAGAGATTCAGGTTCCATCTGTCCACATTCCTTAGCAAGGATAACATAGAGCACAGCCTCCAGGTAACTCACATGTAAGATGAATCAAGGAGAAATAAACCTTTGTTATTTGAAGCCACTGAGATTTGGGGGTTGTTACTGCAAAATAACACAGGCCATCCAGACTGAGAAACCATCCAAACAATGTTGTGGGCTACATAATAATGGAGTCAGTCTCACTAAGTAGTCAACTGATGCCACTGAATATACATAAGTAATTGCCTTCTGATTATTACTCAGTTTCCAAACAGATGTGCCAACAAGAAGAGAAAAAACTTTACATGGAGGTTATGAGTTATTGTCCTTTATGCTATTTTTCAGTAAATATTCCCCAAATAATGAATGCCACCCTATAAAGGCATACCTACCAGTCTCTCCTTACCCGGAAACAGGTGAGAATAACTGCGCTTTTTGTTTATTATCTACAGCAACTATTCAATAATTAAATAGTTACTGAGTTCAGATCATTGTGGAGGAAACAAACTAGAAAAGTAAACTGGATAAAATGTAAAAGTCCCTAGATATTGGGTCAGGAACCTGAACTTTAATTTTATAGACAAAATACACTTACTGAGAAGCTTTGTATAGAAATTATATGATTAAAAACTATTCTTGGGGCAACTGGCTGGCTCAGTCAAGTAGGAGGATATTCATCTCAGGGTTGTGAGTTTGAGCCCCACATTAGGTATAGAGATTACTTAAGTAAACTTTTTTTAATTAAAAAAAAAACTATTCTTGAAGATTATTTTATATGGCAGTTATAGAAATAGGATGACTGGAACAGGAATCCCAAGAGTACTAGTTTCCAACAGCTGTGCCATGAAAGGCCAAATTTTAATCAATCTCTATGATTTATTTTGGCTACAACACTAAACATATTGTTAATTATGGTACTAAGTAGTACAGGAAAGAAGCAAGGCCTAAGTTGTTGTTTTTTTTTTAAGATTTTACTTATTTTGGGGCGCCTGGGTGGCTCAGTTGGGTTAAAGCCTCTGCCTTCGGCTCAATTCATGTTCCCAGGATCCTGGGATCAAGCCCCATGTCGGGCTCTCTGCTCAGCAGGGAGCCTGCTTCCCTTCCTCTCTCTCTGCCTACCTCTGCCTACTTGTGATCTCCATAAATAAATAAAATCTTAAAAAAAAAAGATTTTATTTATTTGAGAGAGAGAGGGTGTGTGTGTGTAGGGGGAGGGACAGAGGGAGAAGCAGTAGGTGATGCCCCGCTGAACAGAGAGCTAGATGAGGCTGAAGACAGATGCTTAATGATCTGAGCCATTCAAAAGGCCCAGTAAGGCCCAGATTTTCGCAAATAAGAGTAAAAGGCACACTCAAAAGTCAAGGTAGCACTAAAGTAAGATCTGGTAATGGACAAAACTGTATTCTAAGTATGAGGGGCAATCAGGGCAGTAATTACTACAGGGTTCTGAAAGGCAACCAAGTGAGTAACGGATGCTTTACTATCTCTTGGGAGGTATTTTTATATTACAGAAATGACTGGGTTGTAATCAAGTTGGGTTGTATTCGGAGTTCTTTCAAACGACTTAGAGCATCTGTGCAGTACTCCAACAAGCTTGTCTTTCCTCAACAACAATCCATTCCTTTCATTCAACAAATATTAAGTACATGTTACAGGCTAATTACCATTCTTGGCATTGAGAAAACATGAGTGAACAAAACAATGATCCCTGCCCTACTGCAACTTATATGCTAGTGGCAGTTAAATTCCATTCTAAAATTTCTCCCCCAATCCTATTACATGGGCGTGGTTTTTACAAATGCTGTTGGAAGATATCATCTGATTAATGTATGCTAAGATGTGAAAGACTAATAGTCTCACCAGAGATAATTATCCTTGAAAAGTAAATACTTCACAGATTCACAGACTCTTAGAGCTGGGAAGGACCTTGAAGATAATCTCAATTTACAAATGAGATTAAGAGATCTGCCCAAGAACACTCAGTTACCAGTAGGAGAGCAAAACCTGGAACTGTGAGTTCCAGTATTAGTGTCTTTTCCACGTAATACCAAACGCCTGTTTTAAGATTATACCAGTGAGAAGAGATGCTAGAATGGGGATTCATGATTCATACATAGGTGATACGTTTCTGGATGAATGTTCAAGGCAAAAAAGAATTTCAGGCAGTGTGTAAACTTGAAATTTCGAGAGGTGGTTATAGGGGAAGCAAACTGGGAGTACATTTCAGAAGACTCTTTCCCCCATCTCTATCCTTATAATGCCACCAGAACAAAGAAAGGAAATACAAAATTTCTCCAAAGTTAATACATACTAGAGAAGATACCTGGACATGAGCACGAAGTAGTAAACACAGCATTTGAATCTAGCAAAGTCAAACTGTAACTTATCCAAGCTGAAAGTGTACGTTCCCAGTAAAGGTACCATTTGCATTCAGTTTAAGATGGTTTTTTTTTTCTTTTTAAAATTACTTTCCTAAATACATTTTTCAGAAAGTACCAAATTAACTGATATGGGTCATGAGTATAATCACTGATAAAACGGTAATGATTGATAAAACAAGGGTGATGTTATTATGAGGCACTAGGAAAGCATTTTTAAAGATAATTCCTCTTCCTCCAGAATGGTTACACTCACCTCTTGCTTATAAATTGTACTAATTTACACATTTGAAAACTAAACTCTCCCTTTAATCTCTCAAAGATTCATGAACAAGCAACATGAGCCTTATTTAGTATTCTAATAGAAACTGTACTTTAAAAAAACTTTCAAGACAAGAGAAAAATAAGACGTGCTAAGAATTGAAAAATCAGCTTTGTACCCCCCCCCCAAAAAAAAAGAACACCGAAGAAAGATTACTGATTTTAAGAATTTTATGAAAAGGGGTGCCTGGGTTGCTCAGTGGGTTAAGCCTCTACCCTCAGCTCAGGTCATGATCTCAGGGTCCTGGGATCGAGCCCCACATCAGACTCTCTGGTCAGCACGGAGCCTGCTTCCCCTCTTCTCTCTCTGCCTGCCTCTCTACTTGTGATCTCCATCAAATAAATAAATAAAATCTTAAAAAAAAAAATTCTTCTTTTAGGAAGAATGTAAACTGACAGGAACAAGGATCCTCATTAAAATCTCATTATGGGTGTCTGTGATGGCAGTTTCCATACCTAAGATAAAAATTATTATGAGAAACCCCCCGCAAAAAATTATGAGACTTCCAATTTATTTCCATAGCTCTGCCATTCTTTTAGTTTCTGAGGCTTAAAACCTTGAAGATGCCATAGACTTTTGCCCCTACTGTTTTCTATAGTCAGTCAGTCACCATATTCTGTATCTTGCTCAAAATGTCTCTTTTGAATAAAGCAAAATTTCCAATTTCAAAAGTACACACACATAACAAGGTCTGCGACCATTAAAAAGAGCATTTTTCAAGCAATGAGAAACAATCATATGACATTCTGATTTAAAAAAAAAAAAAAAAAAGGGGGGGGGGGGGGGCCTGGGTGGCTCAGGGGGTTAAAGCCTCTGCCTTCCGCTCAGATCATGGTCCCGGGATCCTAGGATCCAGCCCCGCAATGAGCTCTCTGCTCAGCAGAGAGCCTGCTTCCTCCTCTGTCTCTGCCTGCCTCTCTGCCTACTAGTGATCTCTGTCAAATAAATAAATAAAATCTTAAAAAAAAAAAAAAAAAGGCAGAACAATACAAACCCATAGGGGAAAAATGTATAATCCTAGTTTTACAGAGAGGAAAATAATTATCAGCATAAAAAATTTTTGAAAAAAACCACCACATGAAAATGTTAAAACAGTTGTTTTTTTTCCTGCTCGGGGTGGGGGTGGGAGGTTATAAGTGCTTTTAAATTTTTTCACACTCTCTACATTTCCAAAATTTCCTACAATGAACATGCATTATTTTCAAACTCAGAAAAAAATGTTATTTAAATAATTGTCTCATTTTACCATTACATGTCATTCTCACTGCCCTCATCCTATTTCCTTAGTCTCGCCTCCTCCCAGGACTCCAAAAACAGCCACCTTCTTGAGGTTTCTGAGCCAGCTTTCCCCAGCTTTAACATTACTTGTACTCATGCTCCTAACATTCATCATTCATACTTAAATAAAACACATGGAAGCAGAGGCTGGCCATAGAAACAATCAACTCACAACAGGATTTCTCAACCTTACTACCACCGACATTTGAGGTAATTATTTCTCAAGGAGGGGCTGTCTCATCGCAAGATGTTTAGCAGCAGCTTTCCTGGCCTCTATCTGCTAGATGCTGGAAGTACCTCCCCCAATTCTAGTCATGACACCGCCACATGTCCCTTGAGGGACAAAAAGTGTCGTCCCCAGTTGAGAGCCACTGATTTAAAAGTTTTAAACTTGCAAAACCATCTGTGTATATACACATATGTCAAACCTAAACTTCTTTCCCATATGTGTCATATACAATTATACTTATTCTCAGTCCTACCCAAATAATCTCATTTTTCTCAAAAGGAACTTTCCAAATAGATCAGGTCCACTGTTCCCTAGAAAAATCATTTCATTTCGCTCCCAAGTCTCTGAACACACTGTTTCCTCACTAAAATTCCTCATTCATGCTTCTATTCAATGCCCTACATCCATCCTTTAGTTGTTCTTTGCAGAAGCATTACTGTTCAGCCCATATACCCTCTGCATTAAACAACAATATTTTATATTGCTGTTGTTAATCTCATATCCCAAACTAAGGTCTGTTGCCCTAGCACATTTCTCTTGCATAAACAATTGCACCTGGGAACGCCTGGGTGGCTGAGTGGGTTCAAGCGGGTTCAAGCCTCTGCCTTCGGCTCAGGTCATGATCCCAGGGTCCTGGGATCGAGCCCCACATCAGGCTCTCTGCTTGGTAGGGAGCCTGCTTCCCCATCTCTCTCTCTGCCTGCCTCTCTGCCTACCTGTGATCTCTCTGTCAAATAAATAAATGAAATCTTTATATATAAAAAAAAAAAAAATTGCACCTAACACTTCTGGTCATAGAGACAATCAAAAGCTTGATAACTAATGAAGGAAATTTAAATGCTCTGCTATAAATCACTGTAAACTGCTGATTTCTTATATGATTTTGCTTTGAACCTTTATTTCTTGTCATGGAGCTAGAAGTATAATTATTCCAAGTACAGAGTAACCACTCAATAGTGAAACAGACTTAGAACAAAAACAATATATAATGGTATATTTTAAGGAATATATAGGTTTCAAACTGTTCTCTACACTTTGAAGAAATGATACAAAGGAATTAAAACTACAACACAAACATGAACTTTAT